AGAAAGTGCACAGGCAGGAGGACCAGTTAAACAACATGAGATAAATGCTGGTTGTCTTTATATTATAAGGAGATTGTTTTTAACTCATTGGGATATATTTTACAAGCCAATTCCAAAGTAGCATATCCCAGATTTCCATGAGAAATTTGAGATATAACTGCATGATGAGCTCATATTGCTAGCTGTAGCTAGGAAAGAACACTGCTATTACATGCTTCATAAACTCATAGTAGATAATTTAAGAGAAACTTTTGGCTAAACTAATCTTCATGTGACATTTGCTCCTTTATTTTGTAATTTAATGACATGATTTTTACATTATGCAATTAGTAACACCTGGGCAAGTAGCAATAAAAGCTTAAAAACTACCTCAAGCTCAGATGAAGAGAGATGGAAGGGACAAAAGTAGTTCTGACATAATAAATTATACCAGCAAAAGAATAGCGAAAAAGTAAAATAATAAAAGTCTTAAAATGCCATTAAAATGTTTAGCAAGGCGTGTTTGTAATTTTTTTTTTTAAAAAAAAGATGTTGTGACACCAAAATGTTCATTATATAAAGCCGTTTTTTCTGTAAGGAACTATCTACAGGATTGAGCAAACATGTTTCAGCAAAGTACATTTCTGCATATAACAGTATGCATATAATCAGTAGAAACAGCAATTATCAGAATAGAGTATTCTTAATCAGAAATTAATGACAGAGAAACTCAAAAATCCTATCCAATGAGTACATATGTCTTTTGGGAAAGACATGTTAATATTATTTTTGTCTTTCATAGACTAATGGGACTTTTCTCCTCACTTTTGTCCAAGTAATATGCTTATTGTTATATTGTTATATTTTGTGGTTATATTACTTTTTTATTGTCACATTGATGTTTCTAACTAGGTTCACTCATTTTTGGGAGATGGTAGGCTATGAAAATTAATTAAAACTCTCTGTTGTGGCCCATCAGCAGCCAGCAAAGCTGGCAGCAGATTCGGACAGTGAGGAGGTTGGGGAGGAACATGGGCCAGTCCTGGATGGGGAAGGCTCTGATGAGTGCTCTGCGTTGCAGGCAGAGATGGAGCCAGGACCATCTGACAGTTATCAGATGCCTTCGGAGACAGACATCAGCGAGGCAGAAGAACAGCTGGAGCCTGTTCCCAGTGTGTGCACGCTCAGAGCTGCCAGATGAAGGGAACAGCTAAGGAACAAGGGTCGACTTGGGAGTATAGCCACAGGTGGACAGTGAATGGCCCCTCCCATAGGGAATAAAAGAGGAGCGAAAGGGGAGTGGGGTTTGGCAGGAGACAATTAGTTCATTCCAACATTCTGCCAAGTATTGTGGTGTCTAAAAGATATCGGCCTGGCCACTCTCCAAACTTGATAAAGGTCTGTAATTGTGAACTATCTTGAAAGACTGTTGGCTGGGACTTTGCTGGAGAGGAATTCACTGTAAATAAAATAAAAGGGGTTTATCAGGACGAGGATGGGGCTTCGTGCTGTTGGGGAAGCCTAGGTCAGAATTTTTCCCCTCCCCCCTCTCTCTTGTGTGTTGCGCTTGGAATTCCTACATGTGCCCTACATTTCCTGGGCTTCATTTGATTTCAATCATACTTGGCATCACATTCAAGAATGGGAAATATCTTCACCACCATTATCGTACCTCCACCCATCCTTTTGCACTGAACTACAAAATTACCCATTTACTCTATAACTTCATAAGATAAAGTAATTTTGGCTTGAAAACATGGGTCATTTCTGCTAAATAAAAGACCATCCATATGACAATTTTCCTCTTACCTTATAAAAAGCTTTGGAGGAGTCCAAAGCTTGAATTGTGTGCGGGGGGGGGGGGGACTTGAATTGGCCTAATCTTTATTAGATAACATTTATATCTCACCATTTTTCTAGAGATTTGAATCAGCTCACCTGGATGCTCCCTATCACTTTATGCCCATGACAACAACCTTCCATGAGATAAGTTATGTTGAGGGTGATTGGTGCTTTTAAGTTTCAACTTTAAAGCTGAATCTCCCCAGTCCTAGTTCAGCACCACATCCTATATGCTCTCCTGGTAGATTTAGCATATGATCTGAGTATCGGGGGGGGGGGATTTTTCTACTAGCCAGCATTAATACTTTTTCTTTATGAGTTACAGCAAACCCTGTTTCTCATCTACATGAGTACAGATCGTCCTTGACTTATAACAGTTCATTTTGTGACCATTCCAAGTTGCAACACCACTGCAAAAGTGACTTATGACCAAATTTTCATACTTACCATCGTTGCAGCAAGCCCATGATCATGTGATCAAAATTTGGCCGCTTGGCAATGGGCTCATATTTATGATGGTTGCAGTGTCCCAAGGTCATGTGATCACCTTTCGCAGCCTTCTGAGAAACAAAGTCAATGGGGAAGCCAGATTCACTTAACCTCCCCGTTACTAACTTAAGAACTGCAGTGATTCACTTAACAATTGTGAAAAGAAAAGTCGTAAAATGAGGCAAAACTCCCTTAACAACTGTCTCACTTAGCAAGAGAACTTTTGGACTCAATTATGGTAGTAACTCAAGGATTCCTTGTATTTGGTATTGTTCTCATCTATTGGAGGGGTAATACTATTACCAGTAAGCTTGATGTTGTTCCATAAAGATTCCCACATTCAAAAGAACTTTATCATTTTGTTGTTTGCTTCATCTAGATCAAACTAGTCTGCTTAGTAAAACAGCATGTGGCAAAAAGAAGCAGATGCAGTTAAAATATTAATCCACAGCTTGGCTGCATATATTGCAACCAGTACACATTTATACCACTATTCATTCCAGCTTTTCTCCACTGGAGAAAGTATTCATATTTTGTTCTGTTTTCTTACTTGCATTTCTGAGTAACTTCTTTTACAGCAAATAAATGTGTATAATATGTAAATTTATGCAAACAATAATACATGCCTAGGTATATGTCTTGATGCTTGTATTTTACAATTGCTATGAGAAATACTGATGCATTCTTAAGATACACATATGATTGGTAATATAATATGGTGAAAAAGATGTTGTATCATTGACTGCTTCCATTGCTGCATAAAATATTCCAATTTTTATTTAAAGAGCCCAACTAGATAGATTTTTTATCCAGTTATGCTATTGATTAAAAACACTAACAATATCATTTTTAATGGAACTCTATGATGAAGGGATGATCTCAAAATAGTAATGGTCTCCTGGGAGTCTTGCCAGATATTAAATATAAGTGATCCAGGAATAAAACTAACCAACTAAAGCAATTACAGGTACTTCTTTAGTTGTGATGATGATAAATGCCACCAAATAATCTCTGCCAGTATAGTAAGGCAAGGATACCTGAACTACATTGAAATCAAACTGCTTACTTTTTTTGAAGTTCACTTCAGTCATTTTGGAGCATTTGTAAGCAATAGCTGAACACTCAAAGTTTGTGTATTCACAAGGCTAAGACCTTAACAATGAGTTATAGGTTTAATAGAAAAGAATCAGCACAGCACTTATGTAACCGAGAAAGAAAAATGTGCAAAAATGTTAACGCTCTTGTGGAGGGTAATAGAAACTCTTTATTTTAAGTTTATGCATTCATTAATGGATACAATATTCAAATATGCAGATTTCCACCCTAATATTGCTATAATAGAAAATCACAAAGGAAGGATTAAGGCCAAATACTTATTACAAGGGTAGGCACCGCAGTGCCATATGCTTCTGTGTAGCAGCAGATATGAACATCATCCTTGGTGGCCCCCAGATCACTGCATCACTGGATCTTCAAAAATAAAATTATTATTATTATTAATAAATAAATAATAATAATAAATAAAAAAAACTGGTGTGCTGGAACTGTCAACCTCTAGCATTATCTGCAAGCATGCCTTTGTGCTCACACAAGAGCCACTGTAAGAGAATGAATGAATTAGATTAGGTCTAAAATGGGTCTGAAGAAATTGTAAGTCTCAGCAATGGATTGGATACCAGAACAGAATATTGTGGTTACAAAGGAAGTATGCTTATTTCAAAAAAAGAAAAACTAGAAAACTGTGAGTTCTAGTTCCACTTTAGCTGGCTATCTTTAGCAGTCGTTATCTCTACTGGCTCAACTGACAAGCCAGTTGGTAAATTTATGTCACAGCCAATGAGCTTAAAGCATTTAGAGACCCCACACATCCACCTCACAGTCTGTTTCTTTGGCTCCTCTCTGGGAGGAGATTTCGAAGTATTTCTAGCGGGACTACCAGATTCTGTAACAGCTTTGTTCCCTATGCCATCCATCTGGTAAACTCACAAGTTTAGTTTCTCTTGCCATGTACATGTATACATCCGAACTAGACTGTGTTGTTTTTCTGTGTCATGTATGTATGTGGGTATACGCATAATTTTGTATTTATTTATTCATTCATGTTTACGTAGTGTATATTGGTGGTGGTGACCCTTTTGAGAGCTGTATGCAACAAAATGTCATTTTAATGTATGCCGATTAATGTATATTCAAAGTGACAATAAAGCTATTGCCTGCCTGCCTGCCTGCCTGCCTGCCTGCCTGCCTGCCTGCCTGC